GAAAAGGTGGTGTCTATTTACTTGTGACCACGCTGTGTATATAACTACGTGTCGTTATATCAATACGTCTGGAGGTATATTTAAACATGTAATGACGTCTGTAGTTATATTTGTTTAAGTTTATCACTACGACTGTAGGTATACTTGTACATACATATCATTACTTCTGTCGATGGTGTTTGCATATCAAATTGTCTCTGTTTTCGTGCTTTACTTACGTACTAAGAAACTGGCATCTATCGGTCAATTATATACACTAAAGATACCGAAGTTAAACAAAAGTTAACACGTTATCCACTATAAATACATATACAGAATTTTTAATACGTTAGCAATACATATCAATTTATATAATATTGAACATGTATACCCACCGAGATTTCCACATGCCCTTACTACGTACATACAGTGTTTCACAAGTCATTACTGAGTGTATACACAATGTTCCAGCAATCGTTATTGTATATATACAGAATGTTCCACTAATCGTTACTATGTATATACAGTGTTCCACAAGTCATTACTGTGTATGTACAGTGTTCCAGCAGTCGTTATTGTATACAAAAAGAGTGTTCCACTTATCGATACTATGTACATACAATGTTTGACAAGTCATTATTGTGCACATACAATGTTTTCCACAAGTGATTACTATGTGTATACAATGTTCCTCCAGTCGTTATTGCGTGTATATAGCGTACCACAAAGTCGTTACTTTGCACATACAGTGTTCCACCAGTCATTATTTTATACATACCAAAGATACCGGAAGTCATTACTGAGTAGTTACCAAGTATTCCACTAGTCGTTAGTACGCACAGTGTACAAGTATTGTGTACATATTAATAGTCCAGTAGTCGTTATTGTGTAATGACCATGTTTTCCATCAATTGTGACTTGTACACACAGTGTACCACATGTCGTTACTGTAAATGTAAACATACAACAATCATTTTTGTCAGAGTTTCTGTAATACATCCATTTCAAAAAATAGACGATTGATTGGCGAAGCAACATTCTTCTTCCAAGTTATTGGTAATGATCATTAACAGTACAAAGAAAATTCATTACTTAAAGAATTTTGTTTACTAGAAGAGTAGCAATCATTATAACAAAAAAAAATATCCCTGGACTTTAAGTGTATTAGGAAAACTATATTTTGAGTTCTATTTCTCATCTGTCTTTTCAAATTCCACACTGCTATTCCTGAACGGAAATGTTAGAGCGAATCAGCTAGCTAGAAGTAATCAAGTCAGGAAACTCAGTATTGATCTTAGGGTCTACTTTTACCGATAGCTGAAGTCGATGAAATTGTACATAATTAATAACCCTATCAGAATGAGCTGGAATTAATGGATATCTAAAAAACATTACGTTAAATTCGCTGGCCCCACAGTTTTAAATTATTGTTTTTGCCGATCTCTATTTAATAGAGATTTGGTTGTTGTTAAATACAAAGCTACACAATGGGCTATCTGTGCTCTGCCCACCGATGGTATCGAAACCCAATTTTTAGCGTCGTAAGCCTACAGACTTATCGCTGAGCCACTGTGTGTGTGGAGGGGTATTTACTAGAGTGTTTGATACTTCACATGCTTGAATAATAGCAGATGAGAGATGACTTTAGATTCCAGTTTCATTTCTCCACACCCACTCTCGTAAATAGTGTTTTATCATCACAGAATCTCGTCTTTTTGATCAGACAGTTGTGCGAGATTCTTCTCCTCAATAAAACTGGTAATTACTAGTAACTTCACGAGTCCACCTTGTAAACGTTAGACCGAAACCTTTCTATTAAATTCTAAATTATTTGAAAGCTCATGTGGATGTATCCTATACTGATAAATTTATAATAAGAATAAAATATGTGAAGAAAAAATCACGAAGATATTGCATAAAAATCGTTGTATCTGGAACTACATCTTCCTGAACATTAGCTATATCTACCCCTAACATTTGTAATAAAATAATATCTTATTTAATTAATTTTATTATCTAGAACTTAAGAATGAAAAGTAAATTCCTAAGGATATAGAAACTATTAAATTAAAAACGATTTTTTTGAAAGAACAACTATTGCAGCGTGTAAATATTAAGTTGAAATTAATCTGTAAAAAGATTTAAAAAATTCCAATTAATATTTATTTTTTCAAACTCTTGTTTACTATTGCTTTCATAACGTCAATTTTAGTCATAACTCAAAGCTTACATAACTTACACTTACTGTTTGTGAGAGGGTGAAGCTGAGGTCTTGGATACTGATGCTCATTACCAAACAAAATTGTTAACTAATAGGATGTTACTCTCCTTAAACAATACGTTATTCAAGAAAGACTTTCAAAATTTGTAGTGCATACTGGAGGGATTTACACATTTTGATAAAAAGTTAAGACAAAAACGACCATTATACTACACACACATATATATATATATATAATTTTTCTTTTATTTTAACCAACGTTTCGCCTTTGCGGCTTCATCAGGATTAATATAAAGGAGCGTTTTTTCTAAACGTTTTGTCAAGAAATACTTCTTGGCATGCTTTTATAGAACTGTTGTTTTGACATGTTTCATACAGAATTGTTCTTTTGAAGTTTCATACAGAAGTATTGTTTGATGTTTTTTACAGAATCATTGTTATGACATATACGTTACGAAATTATTGTTGTTTGATAGACTTTGTCAAAAAATAGATCTTGCAGTAGCAGGTTACATATAAAACATAGTAAAATAAAAGTCGTAAAAAAATAGACATTGTGAAATAATGCGAAATTCACCCACAAAATGAATGGAACTTCATAAAAATGTAAATAATTTTGTAAGAAAAAAACTAATCAAAACTATTTTGAGAAAGAGAGTGGAGGAAAACATAAATAGGTGTTACTACGAATCACATTTCTAGCCTAGAAAACGACGTAGCCCCTTCTCTTCTGCATATCTATTATTATTCAAATGCCTTTTCCACTTCATCAACGATGGATATGCAATAGGTTTACGTATACAAATCTCGTTTCTTAACGTCTGACGTTTCTAAATGCTTGATGGCGCACCTAACTTGTAAAGCCTTGTGAAGGACAACTAGATTCAGCACAAAATACTCGAATTTCACAGCTTTGTCGTTCCCATGGCAACAACTTCTATAGAATACATTTCTGAGTTTGTTCGCTTAAGACTTGAAAAAGCTTTTTTTGCATCATCCATTACAGGACTTTTTCCAGAGAAGGAAAGCAGGCTACGAAATTGTTTAAATTTACTGTGAATACTGCAATTTCAAATTTCCAACAAAATTCAAGGTTTTGCTTTCTAACATTTCATATAGCTAATTATATATATATAATAAAATAGAGATGCATCTAATCTTGGATAATTAAAGTTAATAAATAAAAGAGTAATACCATGAGGTGCACACAGTTTCTGAAATCTTAGTCGAATGTTTGTTTTACGTACAGAAAAGCATACTTAGTGTAAAAAATGCCAATTTATAGGTTTATAGTCTTGAGGCCGATCCTTAGACAAATATCACAAAGGATGTTTTTCAAATCATAGCTTCAAGCTAGTTGTTTTATAGCTTCAACAACACATTTAATTTGTTTACTTTTTATACCTAGAGAGGGCACGTCTGTACGACTCAAAACCACAGATATATATATTTACAGATCAGTGGTTGTTTCAAAAACGCTTGTAATGAATTTTTCGGCTTTTGCTATAAATTTAAGTTCAATGCCCAAAACTAACACTAGCCCTACTCAAAATACACACTACAATATCACAAAGATGTTATCGTATAAAGAAACTTTTACACTGGAAATCTCATAAGATAGAATAACCGTCCGATAAAAAACCGTCCCATGTTTTTCACCATTGCAACTCAAAAAACCATAGTATATATATTAAAAACACAGTCATTTT